AAGGAAAGAAAGAATCTGAAAGAGAAGAACAGTAGGAAACAGGCATTAATAAGGGAGAGGTGGATAAAAATGGGGTTATTTTAAGTGGAGGAGGAGGGAAGGTTATACAAGCAACCTTGAGGATAAAGGGAAAGAATGAGCTCAACAGAGGTGGGACCATAGGAGATGGGTATTATTAAGGGACATTTGGGGAAAACAGGGGTACATTAAATGTGGAAACCATGGTGGAAGGGGCAGACAATGCGAGAGATAAATAATGCCTAGCTAGTTTTCAAAAAACCAGAGGGAACCATATTAATCAAACCTACTGACAAATTATACCTACAACTAGATCAAGGAATATAATTAATATCAAGGCAAGGTTTACCTGAGAACATTTGGTCTTTGCCCAACTTTTATCCACATGGCACACAGTAATTAGAAGTACCAGACTGGTGGAACTAACCTTCTTGGATGTTTAACAGAAATACTTTGAGGCCTCTCCTAATTTGATCAGAGGGACATAAAGGACAGTTTTTGCTCCTTGCCCTCCTAGGTCTACTCATTCCAGGGGACTATGAAAATCTCCCAAAATGTCCTGTAATTGTGGTAGGTCACCTATTCTCTTCATCAAGGAGGCTGAGGAGACCCCCACAAGATGGACATGAACCAGTTTCCAATCTACAAAGAAGAGGGTCAACACAGAAGAATCATTTCCTCCATGCTTCCAAGCAAAGCCAGCCATGGTCGAGAAGGACCTTTGACTTGTCTTCACATAAGTGGAACTGGTAAAAGAAAGGAGCCATGGGCTCCTCTCAAGCCCGTGTGACCCCTGAGGAACAGATCCTCAAATGACCTTAAGAGTAAAAATAAATTGGTTTATCTGTGCCAACTGTATGGCCTTAAACACCCAAAAGGAAAGTATAACCAAAGATTAAAGGGGCCAATATAATTTTTTAAGAGTCCATATGTATAGCTAAAGGCTACATAACAAACAACAATGCCAGATAGGAGATCCCTTCTTTTGCATAGTTGGCCTTGGTGGCCCAAGGGACTCCCAGATAGTAACCCAGCATAGAACTGGGAAAAAGAACAGCAGACCCCAATCTTATCTAAAGGAATATTGACAACTGATTGCTGCTAGATGAGGAACAGCTGACCTTCCTAAATCAAAGTCCTCTAGATAGGCTGACTAGATTCACCAGATGGACAAGTAGTGGGGAATGGCT